AGGGTGAGCGATTTGCTGATGACCACACAATCAGTGGGAGAGGAATCATGGTTCAAATCTAGCCAGTGGGACTCAGAGAAGCCAGCACGCTGTCCCTCCCCGTCCCCACTGCCTCAGAGAATGGGGCAGGAGCTCGGCAAAGAGCTTAGCCCCCTTTCCTCTCAACACCTCCCCTCCCTTCCTGTAAGAGGGGCCTTAGGCAGCTGGGGGACTTTCCTTTCCTGGCTGCTCCCAGGTCAGGACCACTGGGCGAGAGCTTCCTTGTGAGTCCCACATGTCACCCAGGGCCATTGGAACACGAGGAGTTCTCCCCACCTGCCCCTGACAGGTCCAGGAGCGTCTCATCTTGCCATTTGCCTCCTGCCCTGCCCCTACTGTGGACTTTTCTCTGCTCAAGTAAACAGAAAAATGTCCCAGTGCCCAGTGCCCGGACATCCTCCCCAAACCTCCTTCTGCCACGTCCACCACACTCCCTGCCTCAGGGGCCGCCTGGGTGGCTCTGAGTCTGACTCTGGGAGGCTGACAGTGTGTGTGCACAGGGAACAGGACGGATGTAGGCGGCTGAGAGTGTGTGGCTGAGCAGCAGAGGGGGCGCTGGCGCCTTGGCGAAGAGACATCTTCCTTATTACGCATCTTTGTTTTCCTTCCAGTGACATCTGGCTCACCGTGAGGTCCCACGAATTACGAAAAGCAGAAGTCTTAACTTCTGTTTTATTGCTGCAGGAAACCGTGCTGCAAAGAGCGCGGCGGGAAGCACGTTCTCACACGTCTGAGGCTCCAGCCCAACCCTGCACCCTGCACCCTGGGTCTGGCTGTGAACTCAGAAGTGGGAACCAGGCACCAATTATTTATCACTTTCATCATCATAAGTTTCCATCCTGAACGCCAGGGCTCTGCCTGGGTCTTTCCACTGATGCTGCAAGGGCGGCTTCCACTCCAGGAATTCGCTTCCAGACAGCAGAGCCTGCCTGCATTAGCGTTCTTGGCTAAAGGCGGCCCTCAGAGGCACTCGGGGGCTGGGCCTCTCCTGCAGCCCCTGCCCTCCATGTGGCCTTATCTGGGCCTCATGTAAGGGGGGGTGGGAGTAGCGGGGGGAGCAATCCCAGACTCAGGGAACCATAGAATAAGAAACAGGCCTGTTCTTTTTACCCAAAAGCCTGAGGACATGACCTCAGGAAAAGATGTAGAGGTGTGGTTCCCTGTCCCAAACAGTCCTGAGGAGACCGAGAGCCACAAGCAAAAGCCAGAATAAGCCAGGGAGCAACTGGCTTCTTGTAATACACAGCATGGTGCCTGCCCGCCTGGCCAGGACCTGGGAGACCCAATCTTCCAGAAGCTGTGCCACAGTCCAGAAAAGAGCCTGTCAACCCCTCTGAACTGCCCACAGTGAGCCTCGACCCTCAAGGGCCGCACCCACCAATCACGAGTTTCCAGCCTCCTCCTGTCCCTCCCTCAGATGACACAGTGGCTCCAGGCATGGGTGCACATCGTATCTCCAGGGGCTCTGAGGAAGCAGGTGCCTGTGGGCCCAACACTGGCCCTCAGGATTCTGAACTTGGAGGTTGCTCCAGGGGCCTGGCCACCTCCACACGGGAGCAGCAGTGTGGCGCCTGCCCACCTGCCTCTGGTGAACCTCTCTGGGCCTTCACATCCCCATCTGGAAAATGGGACAGCAACGGTGCCCGCCTTCAGGCTTGTTAAATGTAAGGAAGCGTGCCAGCACACAGCCTAGCACAGTGTGAGTTTTTGTTGGTGCTGCATTATGACCATGCTACCCCCTGCCTGGCATGACACAGGTGTTCATTCACTGCTCAGTGACTGGGCAGTGGGTGGCAGACACTTCCCGGGGCATTTCTTTGCAGTAAGTGCAATCATGGCCATACTCTTGCACTTACAAATGACAGAGTTCAGGTCACCTCTCTCCTCCCAGGCCTGGGAGGTGACACCAGCTGCCCAGGCATGGATTCCTATCAACGTGATGCTATGTTTGGATGCCCTGTTATAACAGCCAGACAATGTCCAGTGGCTTCTAGAAGGTCTTGAACACAATGATCCCCTCCCAGCCCTGGTGCGAACTGGGAACAGCTGGGATGGGGCTGGCCTTAGGCACTGTGACCCAGACAAGGCCCAGGTGTTCTTCCTGATGTCAGTTACAGCTGTGCTTCATGTGCCTGAGGCGAGTCCAGGTGAAAGTTCGGACATCTGAGGCATTAACCCCAGTCAGCACCAAGCAGTCAACCACCTGTCCCCACAGGTGTAGAAGGAATGCTGACAGGAAGGCCAGGATGAGGGCAGGAGGGCCTTGGGCAAAGGGAGGCCGATGGCAGCCGCTTTCATGCAGTGTGGGGGGTGGGGGGCAGCAGAACCCAGACTCCCTCCTGAGCCTGATGGGCCCGCACCATGCTGGGTATTTGTGAAAAAGGGAAGGTCCCATCAGCCTTGCAGGTGTCACGCAGACGCAGTGAGTATGAGCAGGGCTCTGCCGATAGTAACGGCCCGACAAGGCGCTGACACTTGGGCTGCTGTTACTGGGAACAGATGCAGGCACAGGTCAGAGCAGTGCAGTGGGCAGATGAGTGCAGGACACAATAAGCAGGACGGAGGTGCCCCACAGAAATGCCAGTTCCCTCCCTGAGAGCTCCATTAATTAAGCACCTACTGTGTGCAGCTTTTCACCATACTCCAGGGAAATGGGTCACAGAGCCTCTTCCCTGTTTTGGAGTCCTAACACACACGCACACACTGACTGGGGAAGGAATTCAGATCATTTGAATTCAACCACCATCCTGAGGATCCTGGTGCCATGGGAAGCTGAGGATGAATCAGATGACCCCAAACACAACCCACTCACGGAGCCACAGGGGATGGGGAGGTCAGCCAGCAGCCTCAGAACGGTTTCAGGCAGCGGGAATGCCTTGCCCATACCCCCCATTCCTGCCCCTCCCCTCTCTGCGGCTGGCTGGTCCTCTGAGAGGTGGCAGCCCTGCTGGCTTGAATCTTTCAGATTAGTGACCCAGCCTTCCGGTGTCTCCAGATCCTTGCGTAGGAAGGAAAATTAATTTCTTCCAGTCATGCAGAAATGAAAATATGTGGAGCCAAATCAGAGAGATTTCCTGGAGGTGGTAACTCAATTATGCGGATAACCGGGTGACAGAGGAAGAGCGTGTGGACCCAAAAGGGCTGGTGGCTGGCCCGAGGCAGCCCCAGGGGTCCTGGAGGGAGACATCTTGCTGAAATCCTTCAGCCCAGCAGCCCAAGCTGGGCTTGTGTGTAAACGAGTACCACGCACGTGACTGTCCCTTCCTCCCATCACACACAGATCAAGAGAGAGCTGGATTCCCCCAGAAAATTGGTCCTATGTGATGTTCTCCCGCCCTGTGTCTGACTAGCTCTTGGGGAGCACGTATGCCACATCTGTCCCCACCGCTCAAGCTTGTCTCCTTTCTCTCCTTTTCCCTTTCAACATATAAGTGGTCTGGCAGCATAGCCCTCCAGACAGCGTGGCTCTTTAGGCATGGCGGTGTTGGCTGCACCGAACAGAAGCCTCTGCCTCCTGGGCCCAAGTGAGTTTTGGGGCTTCCCCCATCCAGAAGGGCAGGGTAGGGGTGGGGCAAATGACACCGCTGGACCCCAGTACATGTCATAGCACCAGCTCTCTATAAAGGCATGTGCCCAGGAACTGTGGGTAGGACCTTCCTGCCCCTGTGCCTGCGGCAGAAAGGATACCAGGGGCCGCCGTGTATCTGGGACGGGTGAGAGTGGGACCCTCTTGGGCCCAGCCCACCTTCCTCCTGGGTTCCAACCTTAAGAAGTTTCTCGAACCTTGCAGCAACTTGAAAGAGCAATGCTAGGATGCAGAATAGCTACCCCCCTTTGTCCCCAGCCAACCCCTGTCCTCTGAGGGTGGCCGCCCTGGGAACCTCCTGTTTCTGGGTCTAGGGGAGGAAACACACGCCCAGTTAGACATAATGAAGCAGTATCCTGGCCACAGGGTCAAAGACAGGGCCTGACAATTATTTAGATGACCCTACGGAGGCGCATAAAGTCTCCTCTGTTCTCAAAGGAAATATTTTTGTCCTTGGCCTCTGGAACAGGCCTTGGCCCTAATGGTGGGGAATACAGGGTTTTTTTTTGGGGGGAAGGCAAGGGTCCCCACACCTACAGGGGTCTGCCCACTACTCTGTGGCTCCCAGGCCCAGCACACACACAGTTCCCAGGGGCTGGGAGGAGGGACAGCCTGGGGCTGTGTGTTCAGAGCCCAGTGGCTCACAGTGTGGCTTGCCACTGGCCCCACTGCCTTCTGCTTCACGTAAGCCCATCTAAGGCTGAATTTCCAGCCATCTGTCCCTCCACATCGGCTCACACCTCCCTCCCCGCGGTTCCCACAGCCTGGCTCCCAGCCTGCCCTCCACGCAGATGGACGGTTCCCAAAGGGTGTGAGCACAATCACTGCCATGGGGCTGCACCGGAGGCACCACGGGCTGTCAGGAAAGCTTTCAAGCTCCTCTCCCCAATCATCCAGAGGGGGGCAGGCCGCCCTGAGGGTGTCTGAGGAGACTTCGCCCAAGACCATCTAACTCCGGACCACCACTCTCCTGAATGGCAGGGCCAGGAACCAAAACAAGAGGGGCAGGGGCTCCAGAGAGCTCTGACCACCCTCCCAGCCAGGCCACTGGAACCTCCATCTATCCTAGGGTCACCCTCTAGGCCCCCTCCCAGTCCTCTGTCACCTGGCCCAGGGCCTTTGTCAGGAAGCCCAGATCCGCCAGGGGAGCCTACGGGACTCTCCACCCTCCAAACGCAGTTCCCACCTTAAGTTTGACCACATCCCGGGCAGGTCAAGTTCTCGGTTCACCTGGAGAAGGGGGGGGGGCATTCAGCCCAAGTGGGTGGGCGCTGAGTGGGCTGGCCCCACCCTACCGTGGGCTCCAACTTTGCAAAGTGGAAAGAGGGTGCCCGGGGCGCCCGGCGGCGGCGCACGGGACCGACGGGGCACTTACGGTCCGGAGGTCCGGCAGACGGAGGCGATCGCACTCTCGCGACCTGGCTCCTGAAGTGGCTTTTCCTTCGAATTCGGTCCCCGCCTCCGTAACTTGGGGGCGATCTGCGCTCCGTCTTCTCCCGCCGCGTCAGACT